CATGACAGACTAACATTCTTGTAAACTGTAAAGCAAATACAGTTATTATTGGATAAATCATTCCTGGAATGAAACTGGTCCAAGTTTTTGTTATTTAATCATTTATTCTTACCTTTACCTTCTGCTTCACTGTTCCGTGTAAGATAGCAGACACCATTGCTGCTAATATCAGTGATATTGTTAAAAGGGGAGGAAAAACGGGGGTGAGTTAGCCTTGTGGGACTGACTGTGGCTCTGTGATATAAATCCATAGTTGCTCTGTTTTTGTGTTCTTCAGAGAGATTAGCAGAGATATGTCTTGTACTTGCTTTAATTTCCTCAGAACAAAGCTCATCTGATCTTTCCACTCTGACTTGCGTGTGGCATTAAGTCTTCATTTCATTAATGTTTTGGAGGTGGGGGGGGGGCAGGGAGAGAGGCTGACAGGGGGAGGCAGCACGGGAATCTCATTTTAATTTGACATTTAAACATCTGTTTTCAATTTCCTGAGGCAAAGACTGCATACGAATGTGTGTGCGCATTGTAATACATGCAGGTGGAGGGAGTGTGTGGGTTTGTCGGAGGGTCCTTGGTGGGGGTGATAAACCTGGGAGCTGTCAGGGATGAGAGCTGCCGTCTCAGCTGACCTTTAAACTGGGGTCTGGGTGTAAGAAACAATGGCAGCTAATTGTCTTCTCCTCAGTATAGCAGCTCCAATTTGCTACTGTGGGCTCTAGAAGCCATATATCATATGGTACAGAACGGTGCGGTCAGGACGAACACCAGTCGGCCACATCTGAAAACACTTCCTTGATAGACACTGTATCATTGTTCAGTCAGCTGAATGCAATGAAAAATATTCTTTTTTTTGTTTGTTTTTGTTTACAAAGCTGTGAAGTGACATATGTCAGGCTCCTGATCTTCACTCACGCCCATTCAATTGCATTTCTTTAACAAACGCAGCTCACACAGGGAATCGTCTATGTGCCGCGACCTGTGACTTTGTCCCATTTTCACACATTAAGTCACAAACTGAAAATCCCTTCATACACACACACACACACACACATTCGGTTCAGTCTCTTGTTAATAGCAAAGGAAATATTATCTGCCAGGGGACAGCTGCAGGCTCACTGGAGAGACAGAATGGTAGAGGAGGCTCATTATCTTAAACTCAGACACAGACCACACCACACTCGCTCGCCGTCTCTCTCTAAGGACAATGGACGATGTGAGAGCCTCTCCATCATATATTTCTATGTTGTACTACAGGAAGAGAAAGGGATTTGGGGGAGAACAGTGTGTTGTTGAATATAAATACAGGAAGAGGAGTTGCTGGGTACCTTTGTTTAAAACAGAGGTGGCAGGGGCAGCCAGTTCCACCGCGGCTCCGGATCTGGCTGCACTGCTGGCAGAAGAGTTGGGGCTTTGTACCCCATCCAGATCAGGGTCCATCTGTCTGTCTGACAGACTGTCTGGCTGCCTCTGTCTCCCTGTTATTGGCTTCACCCGACAGGATTTTGTTTTCAAGCACACAGATGTTCAGGGCTGTCTGCTGCGTTGCACTCAGCTGTGTTTATAACAAAGAGGTGTTGGTTTGGTGGGAGAGAGCAGGCAGTGCTGTGGGGGAGTGAGTGCTGTAGAAATGGGGTGGAGGTCATTGCGCTGTTGGTATAAACACTGGATGATGCCAGCTCTCCCTCTGGCCTCCTGCTAGTTAGTAAAGCATCTCTTTCTTCTTTTTTCCTCTCCTATTATTTTCCAGAGGGACAGATGCATCTGCATGTTAGCTGAAAGACATAGAGGGAGGCCAGCAGGGGGGGTGGAGACCAGCAGTGAGAAGTGAGGTGCACTTAATGTTAAGAGATAAAGTTTCTGTGTTTGCTTATCCAAGAGTTCATTTTTAGCTTTATGACAACCACAACGAGTGAAACACAAGTTCTCTATTTTTTTAAGTAAATTTGAAGAAAACAAGAAGACGGCCAGCACAGATTGACCTGGTCTTTGGACAATTCTGACATGATTGTCGGGGAGATTTGACTTCCACTCATAGCTCCCAGATCAGATAAATTAAAGGATGATATTACAGGTAAGGGAGTGGTTAGAAATCTCTCAGAGATACTTCCTCTTTTTCCTCCCTGGGGTGAGGGGATAGGGTGACTATGTGCAACACGGTCCTTTAATGACTCTGCAATGATAAAGGAATGCTCTCATTTAGTGCTACATCCTTTCTGAGCTTGGGTAAAAGCAAAGATGGAAACCCGTTGCAAAGCTTCACTGATTTTAACAGCTTTCTATTTGCAATTGATTAAAAGTGTGACATTTACTTAGTTTTGAAGGTGGAAGAATCTTCTCGAATAATTGTGACACAGCTCAACCATGACAAAGATTTAATACTAAAAATATGAGATGATAAAACTAGATCAGTTAGATTTGTCGGTGATTTCTGTGTTATCTGATAGAAGTGTCTTAACAATTTTTTACTCATTATAATTCAGTACACCTGCGACTCATAACATCTGTCTTACACATTTTTGACTTAGCCATCTATGCTTTTTTTTGTCAGTATGTGTGTGTGTGTGTGTGTGGAGGAGGGAACAGGGGTACATGGCCCCATGGTTTCAGCATGTTGTCATCGTTCAATTCAACCCTTCTGGAGTCACAGTTGGGGGTTTTAATTAGGGCTGCATGGTTTGTATGTCTCTGGGTTAGACATTTAACCCTGGGTTGTTTATTATTCCCAGTAACTGGCCCAAAGATTGTGTTTCTCCAATGCTGGTCACAAGCCAAGATAAAATTGTGAGAGTTGTGTCAGGAGAGACTTTTAGCCTTAACATTTGTTTTAAATCATATACTTTACTGTATGTAAATATTCACTCTGATGAGCACTGTAGGCTACACAAGAACTCGATATATTTTCTCCACTGATTTTTTTTCTTTCTTTTTAACATAATTCCTGACGTCAAATTTCCATCCTGTAGAATATACTGAATGCGATAAACATTTGAACATTCATTAGAGTAGGATCTCAGCCAACATGTCTGACCTAGCATTAGAACGCAGGCCGACTTTCACAATACTGCTTTTCAGTATGACCTTGAAGATACAAACATAGACTCGGCTTTCTTCTGAGTAAGATTGTGTTCAAATGGAATGAGTGTTGAGTGTTTACATTCTCATTCCTGAATCACTGTATCTCTTCTTAAAAGCACCAAAATGAGCTCATCTACCACACGTGTATCACCCAGTTTGTGTTGGAACGGTGCGTGAGTAGGGATACAGATATCCACAGATGTGCTGCACATCCACTGATTAAATATTTCTTCAAGGAATCAGGTTTTCTATTGCTTACCAAGTAATAGTAATATTATCGTGTTCTTCTTTGAAACAGTAAAAAAAGGGTCTAACAGGAAGTGCTTTAAGGTTTAAGTAAGGAATTTGTTCAGTGTCAATAGGTGAGGGGGTCCTGGGGTGAGTCTGACTTTGATCAGTATCCAAGTTGACTTTTAGGGCCAGTTCAAGATCCGGAACAACAGACAGTAGTAACTCACTCTAATTCCTAACACATACCACCACTGTGTGTGGCTTATATTACACCCTTGAATTATATATATGCACTTTCCACAGCTCTGTTCTTATGAACATGCCCATCTATTTGTAATACAAGTCATGACAATGAGGGTAAGAAGATTAAAAAGCCGTGAACTTCTAATGTTCGAATCATGTAAATCCATGTCTGTCGTCTCCATGCATCACCTGTACCATGGAAAATCAATGCACACATCCTGCCGGGGCTCTCGCCAGGATGGGATCGAACTATTTCATCCAATGCATAGTTTTATCTGTGATGAGATAGCATGTATGCATGAGTGTGGGGGGTTGTGAATGCAGTGTCAGTGAGAGATGAAGAGGCAATGATGGGGAGGTTATACAGTGATCCCTTGCTATAACGCGGTTTACTTTTCACGGTTTCGCTACTTCACGGATTTGCATCGTGCATTGTGTTCTGCATTCTGATTGGCTAAAAAGTCACTCCGCTTCTTCTCTACCTGTGCGCCAATAACGTTGCGGTTTAATATGTACACGTACGTAAAACAGCTTGCCAAATTGACATTACGTACGTGCAAATTCTCTTGCAATTTCGAGTTTATCAAACCCCATAATGTCGACAAAACGCTCTGGACCGGCAAAAGTACCTGCGGTAGGGACCAAAAGGCAGCGGAAGATGCTGTCTATCGGTGATAAAGTAAAACTATTGGACATGCTAAATGAAGGTAAAAGCTATGCGGCTGTAGGTCGGCATTATGGAATTAATGAATCTTCCGTTCGTTCCATAAAGAAGGAAGAAAAAAACATAAGGAAGACAGCAGCAATAAGTTTTAATAAGGATTCAAAAAGGGTTGCAACTGCCCGCAACAAGACCAGGTAATTTGTATTTTTTTCATAATCATTTTTAATTTTCTCCCGTTCACGGTGGGCGGTGCTAATCTCCGCAATTTGAAGCCTTCTGTTCACGTTGATGATTAAAATTATTATTTGACAGTACATTACAGAAGTTATTTGTTGAAACGTTTCTAAAGTACTTTTATTTTACTTTATTTGTGAAACAAATGGTTGAGACTGTAAAATGGTTTGTTCGTTCTTTCTCTTCTTTTTCTGAGTATTTAATTGTAAAAAAAATAAAGATTTCTACTTCACGGATTTTGCCTATCACGGGTTCTTTTTGGAACGTAACACCCCGCGAAAAACAAGGGTTTACTGTATACAGTGATTCCACTAAAGTCTGTGCATTTGTGTGGTTCGGTCAACAAAGACCAAGGTCAGTGCTCATTGTTGAGATGTTGTAGGGCCTGAGTTTGTTCATCCTTGGTATTGTAACGCCTGGATGTAGCAATGTCTGCTTTCACTTTGTGGAAAACCTTAAATGTGTTCCACAATGCCATCAAATCTTTTAAAATGTTTTTTTATCTTGAAAGATATAATGACATATAGTCTTTGTTTTCTTTCATTTTTTTATACAGTCCTGCGTGACGACTTCAGACAAAACCCTGCAGATGTGATTGTGGCGGCAGGAGACCCAGCCGTTCTGGAGTGTCAGCCACCGCGTGGACATCCTGAGCCGACAATATCCTGGAAAAAGGATGGTGTTAATATTGACGACCGAGATGAGAGGATCACTGTGAGTAGACTGGTGCTCTTCAATAAACTGCTGTGACTGCTGTGATATACCAGTGATTGATGCCTGTGGATGTTTTTGTATGTGAAAATGATGACATTGATTGAACCACTGAGGCAAGAAAAGTGATTATCAAAACCGAGAGTTGAAAAGTGTTGAAAATTGATTCGTTTCTCTCATTATTCACGTAGAGCAAATACAAAACCCCCCAATCAGCCCATAATGGGGCATACATCTTTAATGACTAAGGTAAAGAATCAGTCTTGGTTCATTAGTCAGCAGCAGCACATTGATCAGAGATGGCTTTCTGATTAACTCCACCAGGGAAAACGTAGATCAAGGGGGGAGGACTGAGCTGAGCAGCAAAGTCATTCAGGCGAAAGGTAAAGTCAGCAGAAGTAACTCCTGAAAACTGTCAGCAACCTTCCACGTCTCATTTACAACACAGCCACCTTTTATTTAGTCTTAATTAAAGTAACACAAAGTCAGTCCAACTTTATCAAATAGCTACACTTGCTTGGTAAACAGAATTATGTCTAGAATCGTTTTTGCTCCACGTTTTGACTGTACATGCAGGATTTCATGTACATTTTGTTGTATCAGGAAAGGATTTGTTTCTGACGGTAGATGTTTAGTTTAGGGAAGCACACGCTCTGACTCAGCACACAGCTACAACAAGCAGGTAGTAAGAAGAAAAGGAGTAGGAGTAGGTCAGGATCCCATTTTGAAAATCTGACTGTTGGGGTTTTTGACTGTTCTGTAAAACTGGTGGGAAGTTCAAAGCTGACAATGGATTTCTTTACGGCAGAGTCATGGAAAATTCTATCCATCAAAGATAAAAATAACAACACCAATGAAGATGGCACACTGATTGGGTCTGTTTGCTCGGTGCTACGACTCAGATCCAGCTAAATATAGTTATGCTAAATATGTGGCTGGATATGTCAAAACAGAGGCTTATTGCTTTTGGCCTTTTTTTGAGAACCGTGCATGACTAAGTACAGTTTTGTTCAATAAGGGCCAGTTGTGGTTTCACATATTGAGCTCTTGGGCACGCTGCACATCCCCCTAAAGAACGGGAATGTTTTTTTTAGCAGCAACTACCTGACTCAGTTTCATTAGAGTTAAATACTATCTGTGGCCCACAGTACAGTCTTTGGTTTGCAGATCCAGAAGAGGTTCATCCTATCTCATTTCATCTCAAGTTAATTTTATTTTCTTAAGGAATTTTAGAAGACTTATTAGAACTCACTGTCACAGTGTGGCAGTGGGGGTGGGCACGTGGGCATGAAGGCTCAGGTGTCATCTCTTATTCTATGTCAGAATTTGCTCATGAAATGAGCCGAAGTCAATGAACATAGTGCCGGTATTTATCAAATCATACTGAGATAGTTTTACATGTTACATGAGTGCATGTTGATGTATGAAATACATCTCATTATTGTTCCCCAAGAAATACAGTAGTAACAAGAAATAGCAAATCCAAATCACTTGAAAATATATTGTATAAAATTAAACAAATATACTTTAAAAATGTATTTGGTTCAAACAAAAGGGGTGTGGGTGGAACAAGTAGAGAAGTAGGAGAAAGGAAGAGTGGCAGGTCGAGTGAAGTTAAAGACAGATGAAAAAAATAGAAATGACCTGAGATTGAGTGTGGCGTTACTAAATCTGAAATATGATTTTTTTTATAGTTGTTGGTGTAATAGTTATCCACCAAGGAGGATGATGATACCTGTTTAAGTGGTTTGCAAAATGACAAGCTTGTCACCGCGTTCTTTTACTGGCAAAGAAAGAATCTCTTTGACTCAGGCTTTGTTGTGTCTCTGTAGACTGTGGCAGTGTAGCTGACAAATTGATTGGTTGGACTAAACAGATGGCGTTGCTAACTGTAAAGTTGCTGTTGTGTGAACAAAACCTCTGACTCCTAAGTGTTCCCAAATGACCACTTTTAAACTTGTGCAGACGTTGTGTCCGGCCGTCAGAATATGTATATCGTTATCAGCTGTGTGGACAGATGGGCGTCTGTCACACAGCCCTACGCACGTCCATGGTAAAAGATCAAGTTGTGTCGGAAGCCCAACAGTCGTGGACTATGTGAAGAATGTGTTTATGGTACAGTAAATTTGTTCAGAGCGTATACTGTGTGTGACCGTAAAGAGGAATCAGAGGGTGGGATCTTTATGGGCTGAACAGCTGAGCTCGTCAAAGCCCCCCCCCCCCCCCCCCCCACCTCCACGTCCCTTTCCGTTCCTTCAATTCCTTCCACCAAGCAACATGCTTGAACGTGCAGTCTCCTTGGTAATCACTGATAATCAGAGCAACATCCCAAACCACCTGCAGTGAGTATTTTCTCTTCGCACTGAATTCTACTGGTTTGACTGGTTACATCAAAATAAAGAGAGGCCGAACTTCACAGACAAAGACACATCAAAACAGAAATGTTATGTTTGTTGTCCTTAAACTGCACGTCTGCTGTGGCTTAACAACAAAAACCTGTTTTTTAAAAGCTCCAGGCAACTGCTGTGGCAACTCATCCAGCAACATGGAATTAACTTAATTTAATTTCCTTTTACCATGTCTGCGACGAACTGCAGGAAACCTTTAAAATGTCATTTTTTTTGCATTACACTAAATGTGGCAAACATCACTGTTCAAAGAATCTGCTGAAAGAACACGTTGACATGAAAACTTCTTGTTTCGAGGCAGGCAGACTGGCAAAAATCAATTTAACTCCTAACCTTTATCTTGTTATCTCGTTTCTGTGGGCATAGCCTGAGCGTATCTCGACTGACAAAGATGAAAAGGTGGTTAAACCCTGGACAAGCTGCCAGTCCATTTGGTGACCACAATATACGGATGAAAAATCTTCCCATCCCCTCCCTTGCTTGTGATAACTTTTGATTTAGCAGCAGACCTGATCCATTATTTTCATGCCCCAGGACTATAGAGGAGAACCACAACCCAGCAAACAAATATTTCAAATGCCTACTGTGGTCTAGCCTGTTGAATTGCTCCCAAAGTAAATGTAAGTATTATCTTGGATCTACCCTCTGATGCCCCTGACCTACCACCAGCACTTGCTCCTCTCAGTTTTGTCTGGCAGGTCGTTTGCCAACAGTGAGAGAAAGGAACAAAAAACAACATGGACAAAGGAAAATAAATATCCCGGGGTTCACACCGTAGACCATTGTCTGTGTTCAAGGCTTCGCTGTGGGCAAAATTGCAGCACATTGTCCTCCACCTCACGGCAATATACTGGTGGCTAATTACTGGTCTGGAAATGAACTGCTGTGAATACCAACACTAAATGGGGACGTTTGCATTATCAGTTCCACCAAATGACACAGGACAAAGGCGACAGGATAGAGCCATCGCTAAGCCATCTGATTCATGAATAACGGTCAGATAGTCTGGGTTTTTCGTCAGACTGTGCGCTGCACCACGTTGTGTGGGGAGGATGTGCATGCAGAGAAAACGAGGGCTCTGCTGCATTCATTTACTCCAGTCTGCTCTCGGACTTCCTGCTGTTTGGGTACTCTAAATATGCCCACGGAGAATAGGAAACTGCACAGAGGGAAGAATATGGATGGAGTGGCGCAGGCCCTTAAGTGGATCCTCATGTCAAAGCCAAATGGAACCAACTTCATGCCCCCACTGTTCCTTTGCTGCCTGATCTGCCCTGACCTTGAGCCTTTGTGAGTGTCACAGTGCTTTAGCTTTTAAGCCCTCTCTCAAACAAACAGTAACATAATGATACTTCAAACCCCTCCTGCACAACAGGGTACCCTAAATAAGTTAGCCTTACGCAGCTTCTTTACATCCTCGTCCCTCCTGCTTTCAACCATGAATATTAAGCAGTGGTTGGAAGGTGGAGGAATGCCTCTGAACCATAGGAATGTGTCCATTTGGAAAATCACTCTTGACTGATCTGAATACTTCCATTACTGCTTAAAAAACTGAAACACATTTGCCCCACGTTTGAAGTTCCCTTGTCATGTGTAGTTGCGGAGAAGTTCACCCGTAGCAGTGTGACGTGCAGTTCCGCTAATCTGCCGAGACATAACATACAACTCAACACACATGTAGGACGGGCAAGAATTCAACATGAACGTTCTTTTTAACATTGTGTGTCAAGTTCTCTGTCAGTGGCTCAGTAATGAGGGTATTGGTTACATACTCGCAGTGTTGGTCCACTTCTCGCAGGCTAATGTGTGCATCTAAAACCTTAAGCCCCATTTAGGTATAAAGATCACTGGTCCACCAGGCTATTGTCTCTGTCTCCAATGACTGCCATAGTTGTGGGCTAAGAGAGGGGCTGAGAGGCCTGGTCTGCTTTACTGGCTGCTTGAGAACAAAGCACCTCCTCTGGCCTGTAATCAAAGCCCTGGGAAATAACAGGCATCACACTCACCTGGACAAACACATATTCGCTACCGGGTGAATACGCTGCTCTCACTTGTGGCTGGTAGTCTTTTTACACAGGAAAAAATGAAAATCAGGTAACCCATTCTTTAAAACATTCCTTACATAGTAACAGACAAAACTGTCCTCAAGATGTGAGGCCTCTAGTTAAGTGGTTGCAGTCCTCAGGTGTTCCCTCAGGGACCTGTGGTCATGTTGAATTGGAAAAGTATTCTCTGGCTCAGATTTTGCCCAGAGGGGAGCAGGGCCGACTGATAGTGATTAGAGCTTTCAAGTGGAGGTTGAGTGGGAACAGCACAAAACTTTAAAAACAGGAGACAAAGCAGTACAGTCGGTGTCTGTGAGCTCGGAGTGGGGAGTCATATCATGTTCACAATAACGTGGTTTTCTCATGATTAAAAAAGGTGCAGAACCCCAGCCTCTGGTCTACACTGTAGCACAGAGATGGCCTAGGATTGATAGGCCTGTAAGATAGTCCAGAGCTTCAGGATTGATGCTTCTGTTTAGTGTATAAATAAAAGATTTTAAACACCCCTAAAAGAATAAAAAAAAAAAATAACACCATATTTGAACTTATTTATACCACACAGGAACTACTCTGATCGTTTTAGACATAACATTAAAATGGAAGTCAGTAAACTCTCACAGATTTTTTTAAATACAGCATGATGTTCATTTTCTAAATTCAGCTTGTGTTATCATTTTAACATGTAATAGGGATTTTTGTCATTTAAAAAAATATTAAATTATATCAAAACTGGCCATTGAAAATAAAAACCTTTACACTGTACATGTACTGTAGCTTTTAGCAACTTGTTAGTGTACCCCTTAGTAAGGTACAGTCAGTAAATATAAATTAGCTCCTTCAAACTGTATGAATCTTTAGTGACATTTTACTGATAATGAATGTGGCATTGCACATAAATACTGTCTTCTTTTTTCTCCTTTTCTTGTTTAAATTAAATATTTTTCAATTATCAAAACTTCATACAGGTACATGACAACACTGATATTGAAGCTACTGATATTGAGTGTCTTCTTATTCTTTTGTGAAACCACAGGTCTTCAAGTGTCTCTCCAGGTGTGATGTTTTCTTTTCTCACATTCTCTTCTGTGTCTCAGATTCGTGGAGGAAAGCTGATGATCACAAATGCCAGGAAGAGCGATGCTGGGAAGTATGTGTGCGTCGGGACGAACATGGTGGGGGAACGAGAAAGTGAAATCGCTGAACTTACAGTGCTTGGTAATTACTTTTTTTTTTTTTTTTTGCCTGTTATTAAACCTGACTCTGGTGTGTGTGTTCTGTCAAGGCCCCCCCACCCCAACATCACATGCTGTTTTCTGTGTCGGGAAGCGAACAGAATACAGATGCTGAGCTTTGATTGTCTATCTCTCTGGTGCTAAATGGTGTCTGTGACCTCTGACCTTTACCAGATTGACTGTGAGATGACCACAAATTTCGCACCTTACCTTGAATCCCACTCTGACCCCTGCAGCTTTCTTCTCTCCTCACAAGCTGCTTCCTATTACATATGGAGTGGCCTCTGACCCTGGTCTTTTCCAGTGTGTCGAGCACAGAGCTCGCCTAGAATCCTGATTTCATTATTAGCTTTTTCACTTTCTTTTCTCACAATCCGTCAGGCAGTTTTGTAAAGACCAATAATTACACTGACATAATACTGTCACGTAGCTTTGTGCTTGTCCTTAAGAGTATGTAACACAACCCCGGGGAAACCATTGTTAGTCGAGAACTAGCCTGGTTAGTTTTCCGGTCTGACAGAATGTGGTCCGATAAAATAAGTTACGTGAAACTGAAGCCTTTAAATGTTCTAGAAATGTTGGTGGTTGGCTCGAGCGATTCGCAGACATCATGTTTCTATGATGACAACATGGCTATAACATTATTTTGTGTCTAGCTCATTGTTCTGTCTTCAATAAAGTTGTACTGAGACGTGACTAATTAAAGCCACATACAGTATCAGAGTCTCGAGTGGTTGGGGTTTCCTGAGCAGAGTTTCTAAATGAAGCCGTTTGTTGTCAGGATTCTGAAACTACATTTCTCAAATGGTAAGACCTGACGTGGGAGAGTCCAAGGACTGACATTGTTGTGTCGTGTGTTTGGATAATTCTGTTGATACCTGTTCTGACCTCACTTTCTCAAACTTTCCTCTAAATTTCAGCTTTTTATTTCTTGTGAAAGCCTTTGTGATGTCTGTCAGTTAGTGAGTATTAAAATATAGTTTTTATTAGCTTTAAGCCAAATTTGAGGGAAGAAAAATTGAGTTTATAATTTTAAAAAAACACACAGGCCAATAATAATCATTTCAATTTTGGGATAATGTTGAGTCGAACTGTGTACCGAATAAAATTTGGGGGAAAAAAAAAGAGTTCCAAACTTGACCTTTTAAAAACCACTGCTTGAGAACAAAAAGGTACATTTTGCCCGTTCAATTTGTCTCTGTCTACATTTTTTAAAACTGAAGAAAAGATTTACAGCCAATTAAAATAATTTTTCCTGTCCAATAATTTTCATGTCAGTGACGTTAATTATGTGCTGTTCATATTTTCCAGAGCGCCCGAGTTTTGTACGTCGCCCAGGAAGCCAAGTACTGCTGGTAGACCAAAGTGTAGAATTTAGGTGTGAGGCCCGTGGTGACCCAGTTCCAACTGTACGCTGGAGGAAAGACGATGGAGAACTACCTAAAGGAAGGTACGGAGTCACTCATTAACTATACTCCTTTCATTACGCCACACATTCCCCTGACACTCTCTTCAGTCTTTGCTCACTTTTAATTGAGCTCTTTGACAACCCACTTTGTTAGTCAGTTACGAAGCTCTGTTGTAATCCAGATATGAGATTCGTGAGGACCACACCCTGAAGATCCGCCGTCTGATCTCCGCTGATGTCGGCTCCTACACCTGCGTGGCTGAGAACTTGGTGGGCAAGGCGGAGGCGTCGGCCATGCTCACAGTCCACGGTAAGATACAAAATCCTTAATAGGCCTCAGCTGCACTTTTTATTTTATTAATAGCTTCGTGCACAGCCATTCTAAATTCAATGCAATTTAACCGAGGTACATTGCGATAAGAGCTCACAGCTTTACCCCTACACGGTCATCACTTTCAACTATTCTCTCTCAATTAGCTGATTGATTTCTAATAAAACAGAAACACAAAAATCCATAACTGCTGTTGAGACGTGCACCGGGGAGCTCAGCAGCAATTGATTTCATTTGCCCCGTACATGTGGCATTCCTCCTGAGGCCCTGCTTCATTCGTGGTTTAACACAGGTACTGTTTGTGCACCTATGGAGTAGCTTTGTGTCTGCTGCGATCCTCTTCAGTGGACGTCATCTTAACATAGTTGGACTAAAAAAGCAGCTGGGCTCAGGGTAGGAGCCTGGTGAAAGAAGCCATTTATACAAAAGGGGAGCTGGGATCACCCCCGAATTCTCGTGAGAGGTAGAGAACACAGGGACTATTTAACAGCAAACTAATGGGATGGTTGGGAGTCGGGTGAGGAGAGAAAGGACAGAGAAGGGGACTAATGCCGTAAAAGACGTGGACTGAATGTGGAGATGGTGAACGTGTCAGTATTTGTGGCAGTTCAGGTCAGTTGTATTAGTGTCACTCCCAAACATCGGCCTCGCCTCACAGAGATAAAGAAAGAGAAGGCAATTGTGTTCCTCTGCCATCCCCCAACTGCAAACTCCGACCCTTCAGCTTCACATGGCTAACCTTTGCAATTATTTCTTGATTTTCCCTTGAACACAGTCATCCTCAGATTGGAGGAGCCCGATTAGACACAGCCGTCAATACCCCTATCAATATATCTACTCCTCTTAATGCCTGTTTTCA